AATAACAGTGGCGATAGTGGACAGCCTTGCCTTGTTCCTGATCTTAGAGGAAAGGTTTTTAGTTTTTCACCATTAAGTATAATGTTGGCTAAGGGTTTGTCATAGATAGCCTTTATTATGTTAAGGTGCTTTCCTTCTATACCGATTTTGTTAAGTATTTTGATCATAAATGGATGCTGTATCTTGTCGAAGGCTTTTTCTGCATGTATTGATATGATCATATGATTTTTATTTTTAAATTTGTTTATGTGGTGTATCACATTAATCGATTTGCGTATGTTGAACCATCCCTGTGCCCTGGGATGAAACCCACTTGTTCATGTTGTATAATCTTTTTAATATGTTGCTGTATTCACTAGTATCTTATTTAGGATTTTTGCATCTGTGTTCATGAGAGATATTGGTCTGTAGTTTTCTTTTTTTGTGTTATCTTTACCAGGTTTTGGTATCAGAGTAATACTGGCCTCATAAAATGTGTTAGGAAGTATTGCCTCGTCTTCGATTTTTTTGAAGAGTTTGAGGAGAATAGGTATTAAATCTTCTTTGAATGTTTGGTAGAATTCACTGGTGAAGCCATCTGGTCATGCCCCCAAAGACCCCTTCTGCTGATGCTCATCACACTGGTGGTTCATTGTTAAATCACCTTCCCCCAGAGAGAAAGCCCCATCAGGGCGGGGACTGGGCTTGTCTTATTCACTGCTCTGTCCATAATGCCTGACACTTAGTTGGTGCTTAGTAGATGTTGGCTGTACAATATTGAATTGACAGAGCTTTGTAAACCAATCAAGACCATCTAGGTGGTGTGGACCTAAGGATGGCAAGTCCAGTCCCTCAGTCCTTCCCTCTCATCCTCCCCCTCCCTCACTCTTCCCACTTCACAGCATTTGGTATTGTAATACTTTGTAATATCTGATATAGCAAAATGACAATTATTACTCTTATTTTTCATAATTTCACCAGCTGTTCTTGTACATTTTTGCCTTCTAGATAAATTTTAGAATTGTTTTGTCAAGACCCTACCAATTAATTTTAATTGGAATTAGATTAAAGATATACCTTAATTTCTAGTATCTTGTTTCTTAATAACAGTAAGTCTTCCTATCCAAGACCATATCTTCACAATTATTTTTTTTTTTTATGTCTTCAGTGAGATTTTATAGTTTTCTTCATTTAGGTCCACTGTATTTTCTGTTTGGTCACTGCTGAGGTATAAGCAAGCTATTAATTTTGTATGGTTTGGTCCTGGCCCCTTTACTCACTTATTAATCCTAACTACTTTTTGGTTTATTATCTGGAGCATATCCAGGTAAAATATCATGTTTATCTACCGTTTTAATATTTGTACCTTAATCCATGCCTTCTACGGACATCCAACATACTGTTGACCATCTGATATTGCCTCTTCTCCCTTTTTTCCCCTGAGTTAATGTTCCACCGTTCTGAAAAGAATGGTGCTGTTTCTTCTTTTTATAGCAATATTCTTCATTGTAGGAAGAAAATATTATTCTGTTCCTATTTTATTGAGGCTTATTCCCCCAAGAAATCAATTTTGAATCTTTTTCAAGGGCCCTTTTAGTGTCTAGCAAGAAAACCAAATGTTTTTTTCTTTTTGACTGCCTTTGACATTGGTCGATTATAGATTTCCTAATGGTTTACCATTGAAGCATATTATACTTTGTCACAGTATGTTCTTTTAATACCACGCTAGATTTGATTTCTTAATATTTCACTTAGGATTTTGGCATATTTAGGCCTAAGTGAGTCAGGTCTATGGTCCTGTTTTGTGCTCTCTCCAGCAGGTTTTGGTGTCTGGGTTATACTAGTTTCATGATATAATTTGAAGCATCATCTCTGTTTATACTCTAGGAATTATCCATTTCTTAAAGGCACAAAAAAGTTTTCCTATGAAACAAGTCAGGGTGCCTTTTGGGTTAGTAGTGCTATTTTTAACAGCTTTATTGAGATATAACTGACATACAAAAAAATTGCACATATTTAACGTATACAATTTGATGAGTTTGGATATATGAATATACCTGTGATACCATCACCATGATCAAAGTAATAGACATATCCATCACTTCCAAAAGTTTCCTCGGGTCCCTTCGGTTTTTTTGTTTGTTTTTGTTGGTAGTAAGAAGACTTGAAATCCACCTCTTAACAGATTTTTAAGTGTATGATATAGTATCGTTGACTATAGGCCCTGTGCTCTACAGCAAATCTCTAGAACTCATTTAACCTACAAAACTGAATAGTGGCATTTTAAAAGATTTTAAATGTTCTTGATTTCGTAGTGATATTTTAAAATTTCCTTTTAAGTGATCCATTTCATTGAGATTTTCACATTTATTACCTATAATTAAATACAGTGTTCTCATATTTTTAACCTCCTCTGTGTTCTTTATTTTTTTCATTGATCAAAATTGCCAGATATTTGGCTATTTTACTGATTTTTACAAACAGCCAAGTCTTAAGTTTATTTATCAGTTCCTCTCTTTTTTAGATAATTCATTTGTTCATTTCTGCTTCTATTTCTATTGATTCTTCCCTCCCCTTCTTTAAGTTTACTTTGTGGTTTCTAGGCAGGCTTGTATAAATAAATGGTGGTCCAGCAAGAGCCCAAGTTTATTAACTCCCAGGTCCTGGCCACCCACATTCTAGAACCCTGGGTGTTATACCACCTTCTCCAACTCCTCACCAGTCCAGTAGTCCTGGCCACGCCCAAGTTCTAGCTCTATGTTCTTGAATTACAGCCTCCTGACCAAAACTCTACCACCTATTCAACTTGAACCCTGTTCTCTCTACCAAATCAGAGGGTAGGGAGGTTTCCTAGATGAGTTACTATTTCTTTCCTTTTTGAACCAAGGGCAGTCTGAGAGCAGAGATCCACTTCTGTGTTCTAAGCAGCCCTCCAGATATGCCTTAGCTAGAGTTTCATTTACCTCCTTCAACCCCAGTGGCCTGATCTGTGATACAGGCCTTCCGCCACACCCTGGAACCCTCTAACAAAACTGCAAACATAGAGAAACTGGGGAAATGACTCTGATTTTATTATTGTTGAGTCTCTGTGTGTCCTAGGATGCTTCTGAGCGCATGTTATAGAAGTGGCTCTGGGCCACTCTGAGGGTGGGTTCATGCCCTTTGCCAGTTGTCCATTTGACTTTCTCTTTGGCCCCCCAACCTCACCCCATAGATCTGTTACCAAGCAAGGGCCTGCTGCCTGATGCACATAGGAGCCCATATGGCACCAGCTTTTGAGAAAAGAAAAGGCTTTTATTGCTAAGTCAGCCTGCAAGGAAACAAGAGACAAGACTCAAATCTCTCTCTCCAATCAGGGTTTTGGGTTACATTCAAAGGAAGAAGCAGGTGAAGTTCTGCATATTCTATAGTTTCATTATTGTAACATAAAAGAGCTTGGTTCACAGGCTCTAGGGGATCAATGCTTTTCATGTGTTGCATGTTTAATTCTGGGGACAGGGTGGGAGGCGGTGTAGTGTGTAGCCCATGGTGGATTATGACCTGATGGCATCGACAGGTTATTCTAGGTGAATTCTTTCTTTAGTGCACTAACTGACTGTGTGATCTGCGGCCTCATTCTGTTATCTCTAAAAAACGACTTAGTTTCTTGCTAGGAGAAGAACGGGCCCATTTACACTGGTTCTACAGTTACAGGTCATTCAAAGAAACTCGGATTAGTCAATCAGATTACTCACAGCCTCCTGAGGAGTCGTGACAGGAGGCATAGAGTCCTGTTGTTTTTCCCTGGAGGCGATGGGGCTTCTCTTTGGTCCCCGGCCCACCCAAGCACAGCTCACTAGAAACCTTGCTCAGGTTCCAAGGTCAACACCACTGCCTCCTTGTTTGGTCTCCACATCTGGTCCCAGGAAAAGTCTTCTCTCTGTTAAAGTACTGGGATGCTTTCTTTTATGGACAATAGGAGCTCAGATAAGTAGTCGCCCGCTTCAGGGAGAATCTATCTCCCACCTCTCCAAATGGAGTGTGATGTCTTCATTTCATTTAGTTTAATATCCAGGTGCTTTTACAAACCGTTTTTGGAAGTATGTACAGTAAAATATATGAATAAAGAAGAACCCCAATGCCACTGAAAATTGTAATTTTTTTATTTCCTGGGCCCAGAACTAGGGGTAGAAGGAAAGATCCTCCAGACCATCTTTACTTCTTCTAGCTGCCTCGCCACAGACAGCCCAGGTGATAGAAGACAGGCCTGTGTCCATGCTCATCTGATGAATGGACCATGTCACATCCCCAGCCCCAAATTTGACTGCTGGGGCCCATGACGGAGTCAAGAGCAAGGCAGGCACATTTGCCTTTCACTCGTGTTCCAGAGGGTGAGAAGTGGAGAAATGAAATGACCCACTGGAAAATCAATGGACTTCCCCAGAGCAGTGATGTAAAGAGTGGCCCTGCCAGTCCGTGCCTGTAAGTGCTTTGTAAAGCACTTCCTGCAAGAAATTAAGCCCCTGTCCAATGGTTTTCCGATAACAGAAATAATAGATCTGAATTTTATTCATTCAGAAATAAATGTCAGCGGCTGTTGCTCTTTACATGTGGCAGCTGAACCACATTAAATATTTGGATGTCTTTCTGATCATATTTAGAATAATGATGAAAGCCATGAATTACAGGGTACAAAGCCTGACGTGTTTATTGCCTGCAATCCATTTTATAGCTTTCTTTTAGGGTTTGAATTGCTGAATAGGACGATTGTAAACTAGTTGCAAAGAGAAGTCCGGAGCTGCCTCTCAGTTCACCTCTCAGGAGCAGGGTTTCAGGGCTGGGCCACAGGCCCGAGGCCAGGCAAAGACCTTCTCTTACCAGCCCTGACTCTCACCCACAGTACCACCGGTCATCCGCGTCTATCCAGAGACACAAGCACAGGAGCCAGGGGTGGCGGCCAGCCTGAGGTGCCACGCAGAGGGCATTCCTATGCCCAGAATCACTTGGCTGAAAAATGGCATGGTTGTCTCAACCCAGATGTCCAAACAGCTTTCCCTTTTAGGTAAGAACCACCCTCAGTGTCTCTGTGCTGTTCCCAACAAGTCCAAGTTGACACTTCCAGGAATGGAAATGAGAAGCATAGCTTGTTTCTAAGTCAGACATGTTGGGAGTGAACAAATACCTCTCCAGATTTTCCTACTATCTGGGCTCACCCAGAGCTTTCTGAGAGCAATGATGAGAAGCTGTCCATCAGGTCCCATGTCCCCCTCAGTTCATTTCAGCTGTTCTGGCCCTTTCTGGGCATATATCAGGGATGTTGGCTGACCCTCGGCCCTGCTTAGGGGCTCAGTTTTTAACACCAACACTCTCAATGGAAAGGATGTGAATGGGGGTCCCAGCTGAGCGGGCCCCCGTGAGCACTGCCCTTTTTGCAGCCAATGGGAGCGAGCTCCACATCGGCAGCGTTCGATATGAAGACACGGGGGCGTACACCTGCATTGCCAAAAATGAAGTGGGTGTGGACGAAGACATCTCCTCACTCTTCATTGAAGACTCAGCTCGAAAGACCCGTGAGTCCACTCTTGCCTTTCAGCTCCTCACTGAGCTGGTTGAGGTGTGTTGGGCGGCAGGGAGGGAACTGACCAGGGCCAAAGCCACCAACCGGCCTGTGCACATATGCCTGGACCCCAGAAACTGTAGCCCCGTGTGCCGAAGGTGCTCTCCCCTGTAGCCACTGCTCCCCGAGTGGGTCTGCTGGTGTGATTCAAGGGTGTGGGTTTTGGGCAAGGTCTCTTTCTCTTTCCCATGGTCAAAGACTCCAAGCTGAGTCTTTATCATCAAGGGAGATAATCAGAAGTATTTCAGAGGGTCTCAGTAGGGAGAATCCTACTTGAAAATCAGAGTTCTCCTGGAAGTAATACAGGAGGTTTGGGAGAGATGTTTCTCCCTCTTTATCATTCACGGAAGTAGAGAATTCCATTAGCTTCTGTGCTCTTGGGACCTGATTTCAAAGATTCATTAGGAATCAAAAGCATCCTGAGGCCAGGAAGCATTCGTCCAAGTCCACAGTCCCCTAGTACAATTGCAGGGGCCATGGTGGTGCCAGCTCTGTGCATGACAGACTAGATGGCAGTACGCTCATGAACTGAATCCCTGCAATGAACTTCTCACACTGCTTTCTTCTTTTTTTCCTCCCCTCGATCATGTTCCGCTTTCCCAATTCTCTGCTGCTGCAGTTGCAAACATTCTCTGGCGAGAGGAAGGTACCAAGCTGTCTCGTTCTGTGTCGTGCCTGCGATCACGTGTGTTTGTGGTTCTATAATGGGCCATCTTTCCATGAGCCGCCATCGGCTTTTCCAGACACCGAGCAGTCCCCACAAGTGGTGTCCACATGCCAAATCGGATGGGAATGGGGAAGTCAATGTCAAACTCAAGTGGCACACAGAGAAGCAGATTTAAAACCTACTAGTGTCTTTAATGGACACTGGTCCATTAGGATTTAAAAGTGGAAAGTTTCCATTTAAAGCTAATTGAAACATCCCCTGTGAAGACCACCCTGCAGGGGTTCTTGGTCAGATTGGAGCCTCAGCACTTTTCCCAGTAGCTGACATTGGTGTCAGGGTTTAGTGTACACTTTGAGGAAATGGTGAAGAAAAAAGCTGCCATGATTTCTGTAAATGTATATTTTTAAACGAATACATTTTTAAATTTGTATTTAGCACACAGTCTTTAGACATTAGGTTGGGCCATACAAATTACTATTTTCCTTCGCCAAAAAATGGCCTTATACGGACAATTTCAGATGGTTCGAAAAATAGGTACATGTGGAAGCTAGGTTTGAGAGCCTGAGCCGCTGGTCCCCGGCCCTAACTCTGAACCCCTCCACCAGAGCAGAGCCCAAGTCCCCATGAGGTAACCTCTCCAGTTCGGTGGGCAGAGGGGGAGTATGAGAAGCAACAGAATGTGCTACGTGATTTCAGGATTAAGCACGAAATCTCCCTCTTTAAAAACCAGCCTATTTCCTGTCTCATTTTGCCTGAAGAACATCTCAGGTGTCACCTACACCCTGGCACATGCACGCATACTCGCACTCAGGACAGTTTCCTGGACTCCAGGCACTAAAGCTTATGCAGTAAGTCTGGGAGCAAAACAAAGGCAGAGCCCAGAAAATGAGGAATTACTACCAATAAGCTTTAGGAACACTTGGAAGAACAAGTCAGAGCAGCAGTCGCTACGCATGGACAGTTGTCCTTTCACGCTGCGGGACCTCAGCGCCCAGGCCACAAGGCACACAGAGAGCTTTCATTCTGTGTCTTTAAGAGCTGATGTTTTTCTAAGGTGAAGTTACTGCCAAGGGACTCAAGTTTCAAAAGTGGAGAACTGCAAAGTATGCAGGAGGCCCTGGGGGGGTGTGAAGTGCAGCTCCAGGGCCCACTTAAGACTCACAGCTGCCTGAGGGCTGGCAGGTGCTGCCCCAATACTAGACAACCCGGCAACAAACATTGTGCCTGGGCAGCCAGCCGCTTGAATCCTTCATTGCTAAAATTCAAGGCTTGCAGATATGGGAAATGCAGAAGCAAAAACAAAGAGGCTGGCAAGCCGCAGGGCTCTGTCAAATCTCACGAGGAGAAATGAGATGATGAGCGCACACAAAAGCAAGGAAAGCTCCTTCATGCCCCCTTAGTAGAAATGAAACTCAGAACTTCCCAGGGGGCTGGAGCATGAGGCTGGGTCTCCTGTGAAGCCAGTTGTTTGTTGAGCGAGTATTTGTTTAGCCTCACGTTGCATTGCCAGCTGTGAGCAGGGCACTCACTGTGTTCAGCCTGCAATGTAGCTACAGCTGCAAACCCCATGGAGATTCTATTACACTTTCAATCTTGTGTTGGTTCTTCCAGACATAAATTTTTTCAAGAAGCCCCAGGATGCTGTTTCTGGGGTCTGTGGTTGGGCAAGGACTTTGATCCCCTTGGGCCCCTAGGTCTGAGTGAGAAGTTTGCCAGGTGAGCGTGCACAGATGCAAAGGTCCTTGTGAGGGCTGAGGCAAGGCACTTGGAGGCAGCTGGCTTCGTCTGGCTCCCAGGGACAGGCTGCCTAGCACCCAGGATTCCCCCACTGGGAGCTAAGCGGTCACTCCCAGGCAGTACCAGCTCTGAGAGGCTGGAGTCAAGCTGTTCTCAGTGGCAGGAACCCTCCTGCCTGGAGCCTCTCTCAGCACAGAACCGCAAGTGCCTGAAGCTGTGTCATGGAGTCAGGGACCTCTGTCCACACTGGGAGGCACAGGTACCAGTGCCGTCACCATGGGCCCGAGGCCCAGAAAACTGCCTGCAGAGTCATGGGAAGCAAGTAGAATGGTGATTCCCATTTGCCTGTCTTACTGTTTTCTAACTCACTAAAAACTTACCCAGATATTCAATTAAGTCAGTACAACAGTTTTCTCAGCATGCTAAGGAAAGAGTTTTATGTATAATTTTCTTAGACTCTATAGAAATATTTTCACTGTTCTACCTTCCAAAAGAAATGAAAAGGAGGGAGAAAGCAGGGAGGAGAACTCAAACCTCACCCATCTTTGTGCCAACTTTGCCTTTTATGGAGAGGCAGAGCGAGGAGACAGAGCCCAGAGCAGGGGCCCTGGGTCTAAGCACAGCTCTGGCACAAAGGCAGGTGGCTTCGGCCAAGCCCCTCCCCTCCTCGGATCTCAGTTTCTTTATCTTTAAAGTAAAGAGGCTGAACTAGCTGGTCCCCTAGGCCTTTTCTCCCCAGATGGCCCCAGCCCTGGCCAGGGTAGGGGCAGGCAGGCAGACACAACCAGGCTATGGCTTCTGTCACCTGGCACAGTGCTGCTGTGGAGACACTTGTGAGGCAGAGGGGCCAGCTGTCTTGAAGGAGGGGTTTGCCAGCACAGACAGGCCAGGGCTAAGTTTGGACAAAGGAGCACCACCACAGTATTTTTAGGACCCTACGTTCCAGGAGGTGGTACTGTACATCAATGTGTTTAATGGGAGCCTCTGCTCTGCGGCCACCATCTGATCCTTTCTGACTTTAAACAACGAACACCCATTCAGAACAGGAAAGGTCAAGTGCATGTCTAAGACAAGGCTGTCGTTTATTTGAAAATTTGTGTTGGTGGCCAGCCTTGGATGACCAGAGGCAGATATGCATGTCTGGGAGCATGGCCTGGGGACTGCAGAGCCTTCAATGTCCTGTACTGATCGACAGCCCACGGGACAGTTTCTCCCAGTTTCTCCCCACGTCCCTCACACATCGCCTGCTCATTCTCACCTTGCCCTTGACCAGATACACCCAAACTACAGGTTTCATGTATGGCCACTGTGGCCTGGGACCCCGCCGGGCGGCCAGCTTCTAGGAGGGATGTAACCATGGCTGTGTTTGCTCCTACCAGGCCTCAGTGTGGGAAATATGTTCTACGTCTTCTCAGATGATGGCATTGTCATCCTGCACCCCGTGGACTGTGAGATCCAGAGGCACCTCAAACCCACTGAGAAGATCTTCATGAGCTATGTAAGTTTCTGTGCCTAGGCCACGCCTACATCACACACAGACAGAATCCTAAAAGTCAGTCTTCCACCATGTGTGCCATTTGATTCTTAAATTCCATCCACTCTATGTGCTGTAGATCCAAGTCTGCCCCAAAGCCAAGAAAGGAACACATGAGGCTGAGAGTTTAACACTCTCACTCCTTCATCCAGTAGCCACCTCTGTGCACTGAGCCCCCGGTGAGGCTCAGAGCATACAGATGGGTTCTTGGCCTCCCAAGTCCACAGTCAGATGATGGAGACAGCAAAGTGAACAGACAGTTGCCCAGTAGGTGTTGTTAGAAGGATGTGCAAGCTGCACAGGGACATCAAGAGAGGCCTCTCCAGACTTGGGGAGGCCAAGGTCATAGCAGCTTCTGGGGACAGGATGCCTGGCTCAGTAAAAGAACAGGTAGGAGTCGGCAACGGGTTTCTAGAGGAAATGTCATGACCGTGGAGAACAGAGGCACAAAACACCATGTCATGTTCATGGAACTAAAAATCCTCCATATGCCTGAGCAAAGGGTGGATGTGTCCTAAAAGAATAGGACACAGGTGAGGGTCACAGCTGAGGGGTTCTAATGGCATCCTGAAGCCCTGGGAACCCCTGAAGGAATGCAGGCAAAGGATGGCCTTGACCAGGTCACTCCAGAACATGTGCAGGGCCTCCGTGAGGGCAGCGACCAGAAGGGCCGGTCTAAAGCACAGGGGTAGCGAAGGCACTGCTGTAATTATCCAGGTGAGACGACGGGGTCCTGGTGAAGCCAGTGGAGTGGGGGTGGTGAACACTGAAGAGATTTTAAAGCTCTTCACAGGTCAAATCAATGGGGAACCCAAGGATAACCCAGAGACACCATTAACGCAGAGTCTTGCGAGGAGGAGGGTGCCCTTCACACAAGGGGGGCGGGGTGGGCACGGTTCACTCTCTAACACTCTACCAGGCTTGTGCCACTTGCCAGGGCTGGATGCTGGGGACCTAAGGAGCAGGACAGACAGGCTCCCGTCAAGCAGATAAGGCTGGCCTACAGTGTGCTGAGTTTGAGGTGGCCATAGGACACATGTGCAGAAACATCCAGAAGGCAGTGGGGGAGATGGCAGTGGTGAGCTGAGAGGCCTGAGCTCTCTGGCAGTCAAGAGACATGACTGTAAGGAAGCCTGGGAAACACGGTTCCCAGAACCCAAGGAAGGCCAAGTTTACAAAAGGAAGGGGTGCTCAACCGGTGGATACAGAACATGGAACACGTAAACGCCCAGAGGGTCAGAGATGACAGGCCAGGTAGAAAGTGGCAGCTTCACACACAGTGGGCAGAGGCAAGAGATAACTGCTGGTAGCAGATCCACGAAAACCCTTACAGCTCTCAAGACCCAGCTGACAGGGGGCGTGCCCCACGGCTGTGCTTCCTCACCCCACCCACCCGGGACTCTGTCCCTCCAGCTCATATCCCACTTGGCCTCGCCTTGGTCTTTTGCATGAGGTCTGACCTCTTATACTAATCCCTAGCTAGAACGATGGCATGAATACAAAAGAGTCATCTGAAAGCCCCACACGCCCTCTCCTTGAGGACACACAGTGAATGAACTGGGGAATAGTGGGGAAAAGTGACAGGCTTGGAGCTCCCAGTAGAAATGGGCTTGGCCCCGGCAAGTTCCTGAAACGAGTGTGTTGCGTCGCTGTGCTGGCTGTTGGTGTATCTCAGGTGGTTGCATTTCTCACATTCGTAGCTTGGGAATAGCTGTTTTCCAAGCTATGTCATTTGAATTAATCATTATTTTAAAAGTGTTACCTCTGATGAATTTTCCTTGCATGTAATAGCCGTGAAACAATCTAGAAAGAATCGTCCTAGTTGATTTCTAGAAGTTAGTTTTGAAGAACTGTACCCCGTCACATCGAAACTAATTTTTCATATATTTGCAATACCCTAACCTGTAGCTTGGGGGAAATCTCTCAGATTCTAAGCAGGACCCAATTTTCCTAAGAAGCTAGAACAAGATACAGTAAGAGATGTTCTAAGGCAGGGGTCCACAACCCCGAGCCGTGGACCGTTACCGATCTATGGAATGTTAGGAACCAGGCCACACAGCAGGATGTGAGTGGTGAGTAAGCAAAGCTTCATCTGTATTTGCAGCCGCTCCCCAGCACTAGCATCACCGCCTCAGCTCCACCTCAGATCATCAGGCATTAGATTCTCATAGGAGCACTGGTCCCTGGTCCCTAAAAGGTTGGGGACCGCTGTCCTAAGGTGTTGCAGGAAACACAGGGCCACAGTGAGCTGTAGAACAATCCTGGAGGAGTGGTGAGTAAGCAAAGGTTCACCTGTATTTGCAGCCGCTCCCCAGCACTAGCATCACCGCCTCAGCTCCACCTCAGATCATCAGGCATTAGATTCTCATAGGAGCACTGGTCCCTGGTCCCTAAAAGGTTGGGGACCGCTGTCCTAAGGTGTTGCAGGAAACACAGGGCCACAGTGAGCTGTAGAACAATCCTGGAGAACAGTTTTTCATCTAGGTTGTTACAATGGAACGACCCTCTTTCTAAAATGCTGAGTGAATAGGAGGTTGGTGCATCTTCTCTCAGGCCTCTCTGCTGGATTAGATATCCGCTTCATCCAGCGGGAAGCAGCATGATTAATAGATAAAAGTGCAGGCTTTGGATCCGGGCCAACATGGGTTCAGATGCCACCTCTGTCGCTCAGCAGGCTTGGTGGCTTTAGAAAAGTTACTTAACCCCTCTAAGCCTTAGTTTTCTCGTATGCAAATTGAGTCATTACAAGGATAAAATGTGATGACAGAGTGGCAAAGGGAAAGGAAAAAGACCCGCTTTAAAGCTATTTCAGCCATTTAAGAAAGAAATGGGGTGCAAATGGAAAGTAGATGAACTCAGAGATTTAGAAGAAGGCTCAGTAGTCCTTGAGGACGTGTTTGTGGTGAGTCGCATGGGAGAAGGAAGAATCAAAGATGGTGGGCACACCTTGGACTTGGCTGACCAGAGGGAGGTGAGGAACAGTTCGGGTGTAGACGGTTCAGTATAAGGTGACCACGAGAGAACCAGGTGGGACCTGGAGAAGGTACTTCTGAGCTACAGACACAGGTCCAGGAGCCATCAGCACAGAATGTTGGCTAAAGCCAGGCAAAGTAGCTGAGATCACCAAGGGCGTGTGCGAGGGATTTGAGAGGGACACCTTGGGGGCAGACCAAGAAGAACCACAAAGAAAATTGAGACAGAGTCAGGTGAGAATCATGAGAAAAACCATGAGAATGTATATCACCTAAGACAAGGAACAAGAAGGCCCCCTTTTTCATTCATTTATTCTGCAAATAGATTTTAAGCACCCATTGTGTGCCAGGCACTGTACTAAGTGCTAAAGATTTAACAGTGAACTGAACAAACAAAGCCTGTTCTCCAGGAACTTACGATCTAGCAAAAGAGAGACTAAACATAGGTGGACAAATAAATGCATAAAGTCAAGTGGTAAATAAAAGGTGCAGTGAGGTAAGGGAGCAAGGAGGGCTAGGGGTGCGAAGCTAGATGGGGTCAGAGAAGTCCTCTCGATAAGGTGACACTTCGCAGAGACCTTAGGACGTGAGAGAATAAACCACGTCGATGTCTGGGGAAGAGCATTCGCGGCACAGGGAGCAGCCAGTACAAAGGCCTTGGTGCGGGAGGGTGGCGTGAGTGAGGGGAATGAGCAAGCCCTGTGTGCAGAGTAGGGTGGGTTTTTAAGTGATGGTGATGAGGTCAGGGAGAAAGGACACGGAGCTGGATGGTGAGCGAGCCCTGTGTGCAGAGTAGGGTGGGTTTTTAAAGGTGTAGGTTTTTAAGTGATGCTGATGAGGTCAGGGAGAAAGGACACGGAGCTGGATGCTGCTGAGTGAGAGGGCCTCAGAGAAAGTTACAGCCTCAAGAGAAGTGGGAGGAGGTGAATGATGAAATCAGTATTAGGTGAAAAGATGGTGAGGCGGGAGGGCTGTGTGCTGTGTTCTGTGAATCCAAAGGATTCTAAGGGAGGAAAAGGCCAGAGGAGGCCAGGGAGAGGGGACCCGGAGACATCAGGGGGGAAGAAGGACTAAGAGGGCATGTGGCAGCCTATGTCCTTTGCAGGAAGAGATCTGTCCTCAAGGGGAAGGAGCCGCCACCCAGCCATGCGAGTGGGCGTCGGCAGTGAACGTCAGGCACCGCTACATCTACGCGGCCCAGCCAGCACTGAGCAGAGTCCTCGTGGTCGACGTTCAAGCCCAGAAAGTCCTACAGGTACATCTAAGGGAGTGAGGGGACATCCAGTCCTCGGCATAGCCCGCCAAATTCTTCTTTGCTTTCTGCACACTCCGCGGCTACTGTGGGAGGTTGTCAGGCTTGAGTGGGGAAGCAAAGGAGATTCATGTGCAGTGATTCACCAAGTCTTTGTTGCCTGCTAGGTGCTAAGCACTGTTCTAGGTGCTTGGAAAACACCCAGAAATGAGCAGTGAAGCCCTAGAACTTGTATTCTAGTTGGGGAGACACAGCAGAAATCAGAATTTGGGGGAGCTGTAAATAGTAAGAGCTATTTTACTAGAGGCGAAATGTGCCAGAGGAACCAGAAGACGATTTTCAATTGGCCCTCGCACTAGAGGTGAACAGAATCTGAGATCTAAATGCCAGGTGGGATTCCAGCCCTGGGAGCAGAGGGAAGGCCAGTGGGACTGAAGCACAGTAGCGAGGGACAGAGTGGAATGAAGTGGGGTCGGAGGCCAGTGAGTTAGAAAGAGTGAGAAGGAAAGACACGGAGAGGTTTTAATCGGGAGTGACGTAATCCGAGTTATATTTTAAAGAGTCAATCTGCCTACTGTGTTAAGAACAGACTGGAAGACAGAGCAGGGATGCGGTCACTGAAATAAGCCAGGCTGTAGATGATGACTGCAGTGGAGGTGGTGAGAAGTGATCAGATCCTTGATATATTTTAAACATGGAACCCAAACGATTTTCTGCTGAGTTGAATGTAAGGTTTGAGAGAGAAGAGAATCAATTCATTTGTTTGCTTATTGTAACTTCAACTGTAGAATGGTGATGCCATTTACTCTGTGTGGTAGACTGAATAATGGCTCCTAAGATGCCCCCAGCCTAATCCCCAGAACCTGTGAATGTCACTTTGTATGGCAAAAAAGACTTAGCAGATGGGAGCAAATTAAGGATTTTTGAATGGAGAGTTATTTTGGATTATTTGTGTTATCCCTAAATGCAACAAGAGTACCCTTATAAGAGAAGCAGAGAGAAATCTGACTACATAGAAGGAGGCCGTATGTTATACTTCTGGCTTTAAAGATTGGAGGAGAGTGTCATGAGCCACAGAAACAATGAATGTAGCTCTGGAGGCTGGGAAAGTTAAGAAAATACATTGTCCGTTGGAGCCTCTAGGAGGTGCACTGCCTTACTGAGACATGGTTTAGCTCAATGAAATTATTGATGGGTTTCTGGCCTCCAGAACTGTGAGAATAGATTTCTGTTGTTTTAAGCCACTAAGTTTGTGGTAATATATTACTGAAGCAATAGGAAAACGAATATACTATGAGAGAGACTTTGAGCAAGGTGGTGGGGGGAAGGCAGGTCATGGAGCAGCTAGAGGGGACAATTAGGAAATCAGTTTTGGCTTTTTTAAGTTTAAGATAACGTGGAATAGCTGTAGATCTCAAGTAGATAAACAGATAAACAGATTTGGAGTCAAAGGAGAGACCTGGTCTGGAGATGTTGTCACTATGTTAGATCCAGAGAACTGGATGAAAAATCACTGAAGGAGGTATAGACAGAGAAAAGCTCAAGGCTGGAGCATTGCAGCACTTACAGATCAGGAAAGATCATCTGTTGGGTCTCCCAAAGGTGACCCAAAGGAATAACCGAAAGATAGGAAGAAAATTAGGAGAGAGGAGTATTTGAGAAGTCAGGAAAATAATATTTGAAGGGAGAGTTAGTGGTCAATAGTGTCAGATGTTGCTGAGAGCGTTTGCATGTCATGAAGACTAAGAATTGCCTGTTAGATTTGGTACATGAATCACCTTGGCAGGAACAGAGAGGATGGTAATAGTGGGATGCAAGCCTGAGGGTGCGGATGCAAGTTAGAATGGTAGGTGAGGACATGTAGGTGATGAATATACACAACCATTTTGAGGGGTTTTGTTGTCAAGGTGAGAACAAGCAGACAAATGAAGCAGTAGCTAGAAGGGGATGCCGAAGGAACTTTATTTTTAGAATAGGTGATATTACAGCATTTGTACAGCTAATGGGAAAAACTGTTCCCACGATTCTTCCCTTTCTTCATGGATGTAGTCAGGAGTCAGTGGAATCCAGGAAATACAAATGGAGATGTTGGCCTAGATACCATATTTTCATTGTAAAAGGAGGAAACAAACAGTATTTGGGCACAAGTGCAGTTGCTTTAATTTTCTCAGGAAATAAAAAGAAAAATTATCACCAAGGCTGGAGGTTTGAAGAAAGAGGTGAAAGTTGCATGTGAGATTGAAATAACTGTGGAAATATAATAGTACTGCTGGGCAAGAGTGACGGCCCACTTAGGGAGCTGTAAATAGTAAGAGCTGTTTTAATAGAGGTGAACTGTGACAGAGGAACCAGAAGACGATTTGCAATTGGCCCTTGCACTAGAGGTGAACAGAACCCAAGATCTAAAGGCCAAGAGGGATTCCAGCCCTTAGAGCAGAGAGAAGGCCAGTGGTACTGGGGTACAGTGACGAGGGGCAGAGCAAGATAAGGCGAGGTCAGTCCACTTAAGGACTGTGATGTACAGTGGGATCAGTGCACGGTTGCCTTTTTTTCCCAGCAATATTCAACTGCCCCAGTGCAGAATCATTGTAGGGAACAAGTTGGATGTAATCAAGGCAGTGGCTTTTTCTAGTAAATATGACAGGAGGCTTTCTAGCTTTCTTTTTGTTATTGATTTCCCTGGTCAGAGAACATACGCTGAATAATGTCAATCCTTTGAAATTTACTGAAGCTTGCTTTGTGACCCAGCTTATCAATTTTGGTACTGTTCCGTGTGCACTTTAAAAAAATAAGTATTCTGATGTTGTTAGGTACAGTATTCTCTATACATGTCAAGAATGTCAAGTTCGTTGTGTTGTTCAGCTCTTCTAAGTGATTTTTTGTCCACTTAGTCCATCAGCTGTTGTGAGATGTGTTGAATTCTCTCACTATGATTGTAGACCTGAATTCTATCCATTATAAATTGTAATATCTTCCTAGGGGGAAGACTCCTTTTTTCTTCCAAATATTCTTTATCTCTGACAATGCTTCTTGCTTTTTGTCCGAGTAGAGTTCAATCAGATTGATTGTTATAATTTTCTATCCTGTTATTTTCAACATCCACCTTTTAAAGGTGAGCTTTTATAAAGCCACACGTAGTTGTCTTTTGGTTTTTTCATGATCTTTTACTTGTAGTATTGATCCGTTTATATTTAATGTAATCCTTATACCATTATCTACTATCATACTGTTTTTCTAATTTGACTTATTTATGTTGCTTTTCTCTCCTTTTTGTTTTCCTTTAGGTTAATATAAAACATTTATATTATCCCATTTTTCACTCTATAGGTTGTTGACAATGCATCCTTTTATATTGTTACCACCATTGAGATGACATGTATCCTTGCCTCAATAGTTTCATGTAAATTACTTCACTTCCCCATTATTGATAGAACCTTAGAACACTAACTTCTTTTACTCCCCTCCGGCTTTTGCATTAATTGTAGGAATGAATTATAACTACATATACTTTAACCCCTAAAGCCATGGTTATCATTTTGTATAGTTGAGTCATTCATGCACCTATTTCCCTTTTCCATTGCTCTTTATTCCTTTATTCCAGAGGTACATAGTTATCTCTGGGATCATTTTCATTCTGACCAAAGAAGTTTAAGAGTTCTTTTGGTACAGGTCTGCTGACAACAGATTCTTAGTTTCTGTTTGAAAATAATATTATTTGCCCTTTATTTTTAAAGTATATTTTCACTAGCTATAGAATTCTACTTTGGCAGTTATATTCTTTCAGCATTTTAATATGCTATCCCATTACCATCCATTCTTTTTGTTAATGGGTCAACTGCCAGTCTTATGCTTTGAAGGTAATGTATCTTTTTACTACTTTTCGGATTTTCTCTTTGGTCTTCAGCAGTTTTACTATGATGTATCAGGCATGGTTTTGTTGTTGTTGTTGTTGTTTGATTTTTTCTTTTTTGGTTTTTGCAGAGGTTTTGAATGTGTGGATTGATATCTTTTCTCAGATTGGAAAATTAGCTATTATTAGATTATTCAAATAATCTGCTGCTTCATTCTCTTGCCTCTTCTTCTGGAAAAGTTACTTTTCCATTGTATCACACATCTCTTCACTCTTATTTTCTTTTTCTTTTTCTTTTTTTTTTGGCTTCAATTTGGATATAGTCTACCTACCTTTTGGTTCACTAATTCTATATTGTGTGTCTAATGTGGATTAAGAAAACCTACTTATTGAGTTCTTAATTTCAGGTATTGCATTTTTCACTCTAGAATTTCTACTTAATTCCAAATTACCTTTTCATGGACCACCTGTGGGTCTGTTTCTATTGTCTTTGCTGTTTTCAGTCATATACTCTGTATCTTGGAATGCCTAGTAATTTTCTTGAATGCCAAACATTCCATATACAATATTATGAAGACTTTAGATGGCTTTCATCCACCAACAAAGGTTTACCCTTTCCTCTGCTAAGCAGAGAGTAGAGAACGAATCCTTTTGATCTCACCAAGTACTGAGTGGCATCAAAGCTGAGTTGAAGTTTTTGTAAGGCTTCACTCCCAGTCCTAGCGTAGAGGCTTCGGGGGTTTTGGCTGAGAGTCTAGTGTGTACTTCAGGACCTTTTCCCTTCCTTCCATGTCTTTGCTCCACAGCATATGGAGACTATGGAAAACTCTGTTCTGAATCTGAAGACATAAACCAAAACTCTCTCAGACTCCTGTTCCACAACACCTCAGATTGAGACTGCGAACTATATGGAAAAGGTTAAGCAGAAAGAGAATAGAACAACAACTGAGGGAAGTTTTGCTGTGAAGAGGACAGACAGACAAGGTATCTGTAGGTAAATGTGTAGTCAAGAGGATTTTTTTTATGGTGACATTGATTAACGAAATCCAGGTAGTTTCAGGTATACAATTCAACAGTAAGGCAAGATATATATCTATATCTAGATATAGATATATATTGCATCTAAATATAATGCAATATATCTAGATATAGATATATTGCATTATATTTACCGCCTATAGTTAGATTTTTTTTGTCACCATATATTTGACCCCTTATACCCCATCTACCTTCTCCCTCCCCCTCCGCCCTCTGGGAACCACTAGTCTATTGTCCATGAGCCTCTGTTTCAAGAGGATATTTTAAAGAGGGTAACGTGAAACAAGATCATGTCAAGGTGTTGTTATTGCTAAGGTGTGAAGAAGTGCTGGGTAAAGGAAGATAGTGCCAGATTGTAATGTGGTAAGTGAAGGGGAAGCACCCAGGGTAACTTTCCCCCTCCCCTCCACCCTCTGGGAACCACTAGTCTATTGTCCATGAGCCTCTGTTTCAAGAGGATATTTTAAAGAGGGTAACGTGAAACAAGATCATGTCAAGGTGTTGTTATTGCTAAGGTGTGAAGAAGTGCTGGGTAAAGGAAGATAGTGCCAGATTGTAATGTGGTAAGTGAAGGGGAAGCACCCAGGGGATGACAGGAACGAGCACGAGCAGCTGTAGACATGAGCAAAGGAGCTGGGGTCTGTGAAGTATCAGAAAATAGTAACCACCTCTGAGGAGGACAGGTGGTTTTAAATAGAGCAAGAACGTCAAAAGAGACTTCAAAGACGGTGATGAATGGATAGGCAAAAATCAAGAGTTCAGTTTTGTACATGTTAAGGTGATGTTGAGGTCCTCGACAGAGTCAGAATGGATTCTAAAGTCATCAGCGGCTTATTTGAAGCCACGGTATTGGGTGAGCTCACCCAGGGAAGGGATGGAGACAAGGTCAAAGATGAAGACTGGGGACATGGCAAAATTTAGAAGTCGGGAGGAGGAGGAGGATAAGCTAGGGAAGTAGGAGGCTGAGTGAAGAAAACGTTACCAAAAGGGAATAAGTAACTGTGTAAAATCTTGCTGAAATGTCAAGTGAGAGGGAGATTCGGGGACTCCTTGGTTCTTTAGAGAAGTTTTGACACATCAAGTTTTTCCCCTGAAGATCAGAAAGGCTGGAATAGAGTTAGTTGAAACTGAAATTTCAGAAATTATGTCAACAGGGTATAGTTTATGTTGCAAGGGGTGAGGAGGAAGAAAAGACCATTAAAATCGAGGAGGAGCTGGGAGAGCAGAGCTTTGGATCAATCACCCACGTGGATTCGAAGGTACAAAATGTGAGAACCAAGTAAGTGGTAGAGAAGACAGTGAGCCACGTATTCATGTCTTTAGTAAACAAAGGGAGTGGATTGGACATTGGCCAAGGACAAGAAGAGCAAGGTCATAGTCCAGTGGCATGAGCGTCATAAAATAGAGTTTGGGAACTTGTAAAACTACACTATAAAAAGTGGAAGAGAAAACAAACAGTCTCCATTTGACAGGGCCACAAGGGAAGCTCTGTCCCCAGAGGGTAGCGGAGTTTAAGTTACAGCAGTAAAAATAGTCTTCCTGGTGCTGTATTCTGAGTCCCAGAAGCTCCAGCTGAAGGATGTACAGATAGAGGCCATGCACAGGTAAGGTGATAATGGGTGACCTGAAAGTCAGTCTCAGATGACCCAGCAGGAAGGGCTCACTCACCAGAATCCAGGGTGCAGAGTAGCCTGAGAAAGGATGGGAGGGTCGGTCCTCAGCTGATTCGTGAGTGGAATGCTTAAAGCCTCTGTGTTAAGGCTTTTGCCAAGATGTTCTGGGTCTCCTATAAGTAAAACCTACAAGAACTTTTTGAAAGAGAGAAATTACAACCACTTTTATGCCTCTGAAGACAAACCCGGAAGGGAGGCTTCTACACAGGCTAATTGCCAAGGTTGCTGGGCTGGCCTTCTACTCACCCAGGAGTGACAGCCACGTGCACAAAGCCCAGAAATGACCACCGTGTCAGCCTCTACAACAACCACAGCCAACTTGTCATTTTTTTTCAAGTCCATAGGTGTGGACCCTCTGCCCACTAAGCTGTCCTATGACAAGTCACATGACCAAGTGTGGGTCCTGAGCTGGGGAGATGTGCACAAGTCCCAACCAAGCCTCCAGGTACGTTGAACACAGGGAGGCCGACACCTGCCCCACAGGAAAGACCTCTCTCCCTATCCCACAAATGGCTCCTACTTCCCTAGGTGGCTAATCCCATTTATCCAAAATATGTCCACAAAGGCTTGAGAAGGTGGGAAACAGCCTCAGGCCAACGCCCTGCACAGGCACTCAGGGAGGCCTGCTGCCAAAGACAGCAGTACTGATGACAGATGGAAGTCTAATGTTGCAACAGCCAGAACGTGGCTCCCAGGCTCCACCCCGCCCAGTCCCAGGACACCTGTCTCTCCAAGTGCTACTGAGGTTTAACAGCAGTGAAGCCCTGGAGTCCAGGCAGGGAGGAGGAAAACAGGCTTGCTTCACCTTGGGCTGGGTGGGCTGGAGAATAGCGTCAAAGCAAGCACCAGGTGCCAGCCAATAAGGAAGGGGAAGAAACAGCAGCAGCAGCACTTATGTCCATAAACAGAAGCACATGTACGAAGTGTTTACAGTGTGCTAGGCCACAGAAAAGTTAGGTAATCCGCCCACAGTCCAACCCCGGAAGCCTGGCTCTGCAGCCCACACCTTCAGCCGCTGCACTGCCCCTCGGGAAGAGCCTGGGCCCGCCTGGGGAAAGTCCACACCATCCCCACGTTGTGTCTGGTTCAGCCTTTCTCATCAGGGATGCAAGAGAGGATTGCACTCTACAAAAAGTGATCTGAATGCTTGTTTTCTCAATCCTCCCAAAGATGGTACATAAAACCATTCTAGATGCATACAATGGACGCCTCGGATTTTAGGGTTTTATTCTCTCTCACAACCCCAGCCAAGGAGGGCTGTACACAGAGCCAGGTTTGCCCTGTTCCCAAGACTGGTGAGAGGCTAGGCACGCCCAGGTCTAGAGAAGCTTCTTCCCAAGGACAACCCACCTCCCTGCCTTCCTCTGTGCTGCCACACCAGCGGGATGACCTTACTTCACTTCCTTTAAGCTGATACCATTGTCACTCAATGGACACATCAACCAATCCCGGGCCCCAGTGAGCCTGACGACAAGTAAAAAACAACCCATTAGAGGACCTTGGACCAGAATAAAGGCCACTCGGAATAGAGTACAAGCCCACAGAAATAGTGTTATTTGTCCCTCTGGCAGCTCTAAGAAAGTGCTTAAGGAAATTTGAGGGGAGGAGCCACCAAAAAGGATTTTTCTGAAACTAAAAATGTACACGAGTGACTTCCTAATTCCAAACTGCAGTGGGTAAGTCGAGAAACACGTGGTTTCTACTGAGACCCAAAATAGTCACCTAAAAGAGCAAGAAAATCTCAAAGCACAGAACAAATATATAAAGAGACTGAGATGAAGTCTCGGAATTTCAACAAAAGTTGAAAAAGAGAAAAGGTGACAGCTGGAATGGAGTCAAACATTAAATAAATTTGGCATAAAATCTCCAAGCTATACAACTTAATCATGTAGATACAAAGGGATCTACAGTTCCGGGCTAGACTAGTGAGCAATGACACATCTCTACCCTTCTTGGTAAAACAATCAAGGGAAACTTACAAAGTAGAAAGAACAAGTTACCTGTACAAGCAGCAATCAGGTGGGCCTTGAACATCTCACCTGCATCAGGATCTGGAAGGCCATGGAATCACATCTATGTGCCACTTAGATGAAAATGTTGAAATCCAAGAATCCCATTCCCAGCCAAGATATCATTTACCTGTCAGGACAAAAGAAATAAGGATATGTGAGAATTCGGAGAGTGTATCACCCACGTGCCCCATCTGAGAAACCAAAGCCACGATATCAAGATGGAGGAAGAAACAGGAGACAGCTGTAAGTAATGAACCTAGAAAGGAAGGTGTAAAAGTAAGATGAATGAGGAGAAACTCCCTGGGAATGTGTAAGTGCCAAATAAGGATGTTTGAATTGGGGGAGACACACTGAAAGAGAAACTCTGACACTAGGCTATAACTAAGGATAAATTATTTCAGTAAAAATGAGTAGGGAGTGGAGGAAAGAAGAGAGAGTAAGAATAGTCAAAAATGTCATCTTATTGGGATAAGAGGATATGAGAATGTGATTTGAAATTAATAGCTGAGAACTGAATATCTCATTATTCCAAATGTGACAAACTGAATTCTCCTATTAAAAGCAGAGACGATCAGATTGGGTTTTTTAAAAAGAAGGAAAGAAAGAAAACTAGCACACATAAAACAAAGTGATAATAAAAGATTAGATTTAAAGGGGTGGAAATAGTGATGCTGGAGGAACAAAAAGATACAAGTAGTAATGTTAATATCAGACGAGGTGGGATTTAAGGTTGAAAGCACTAACCAGCATAATGAGGGACATTATGCGCAATAAATGGCCGACAGATATCAAACAACATGATAACTAATTACACAAGTGATTAAAAATACAAGGGGAACTTGATTAAAATTAATGCGCTTAAATTGTACATACCAAGGAGACAAAATAATGACATGGAAAAATTTAATAATATGAATAAGGAACCTGGTTTAACGAATACATAGAAAACCTTTCATCTGCCAAATAGAATTTTCCCACATGTTCACATATAGATAAATGTATCAGTAATCACAAAGAAAACTAACGAATTTTATAGAAGTCGATGTTATAGGCTACATTATCTGACCATTAGAATTAAAATGTGACCTAATGGAAAACACTCCTAGATAGCTATTAGATCAAAGGAAATTAAAAGGGAAATTACACACAGTCACAGAGGCAATGAAAAAGAGACCATTTCACATCAAAACCTATGGGATACAGAGAAAGCCGTATCTGTGTCTTAAAAGCCTGCAAAGGAATTACCTGTGTTAGAAAATTAGAAGAACAAAGTGACTGGTGAGGAGGAATGAAAAGACTGAAATGAACAGAAACAAAACAGTAAAGGAACAAAAAGAGAAACAAACAAATCCTTCACAGGCCTGATAAAAGAAAAGAAAAACGACAAAATGAGGAATAAACGAGTCAACATTATATATAACATAAATTAAAACAGAAAAACGACAAAATGAGGAATGAGAAAGGGATATGACTACCAATACAGGAGCATGAAAATAATTGTAAAATAACACTACATTGCCACTCTGGGGTGGCAAATTTTAAAACCAGAAGAAATGGACGATTGTTTACAAAATGTAGCGGGGGCAATGACCTAGGAAAACTTGAAATAGAACAATTATCTTAGAAAGGTTTTTAAAAGATTAAAGAGCTACCACAGAAAAACATACAGGTAAATTTTCTCAAACTTTCAAAATATTATATTTTAATATTCCTTGAATTTTCCCAGAC